CTCTTCCCCTGCGATTCGAGTGGGATGAAGCATCCAATACAAGTTAGAGAATTTATATACATAAAGAATAAATCCGTGAGGAAAATAAACAGTGATACCGTTGGATCACGAAACGAGGAAATAGCAGTGGTAGGACCAGATTGTAGTTCGTGAGGATCGGATCCAAAATGACTGATCCAAATCTAGAGTTACAAGAATCAGGTTGGGAAGAACTTAGAAGAGAAGCAAGAAAGATCGAAGGAGATCTCGATGTCAAACTCTCTTCTTATGCCAAACTTGGCGCTCGATTTACTACTCAAGGAGGAGGTGAATTTTGTTTTAATTTTGATTAATTAATTAAGTGGAGATTATTTTAACTGATGAGTGTGAATCAGGTTATGTGGAAGTTGGTTCGCCAACAGTTGGATCCAGTAGGTCATGGAAATCAATGGAAATGGAAATTCAATCTTCACTTGAGAAGTTACTCGATATCAATGATGCTATGAGCAGATGTGCTGCGGCGTCCGCTGCTACTTCAGTTACTCAAAAGCTAGCAAGGCATAGAGATATACTTCATGAGTTTACGCAGGTTTGGTACTTGTTTTTCTTATGATTTTGCTTCTATCTAGTGTCTTTTTTCTTTCTTGTACCGAAATCTTAGGAAATTTCTGTGTTGTGTTGTATGTTTGCGATGCGTGTATTGGCAGCAATGCGGACATGAATTCGATAGAGTGTTTACATACATACATATATAATGTGGCTTAATTCCGGTCAGAGAGGGGGGGAGATAGAAAGAAATGTGGCTATTTGTGCGAACTAGTGTACGAACCTTAATTGGGAAATGGAAATGTTGGTGTGGGTGTTTTCGATATTTTGTTGTGAGAAGATAGTTGATTTGGTTGTTACTGTCTTTGTGCTTAATTTCCATCAGTATGTCATGATTGCAGGCAAAATCCGTTTCAGTTTTTTTCACTTTTCTTGCTTTTTTTCATTCGAAGACTGTATGAATCATGCTCTGTTTTCCGGGACTTAATTCCTGCGCCCTGAACAGTGAGAAAGAATGGATGGTAACAACTTAGCTATTTGTGCTTACATGACTAAAATTTCAAAGGGTAATTTTAATTTAGTGGAATGCATCTGATCTCGTAGAATTTTTTTTCAAAATGCATCTTTTATTCCTGTTGGCGTCTTAAGCTCAACTTCAGATCTTATTCAAAATCTCTCTTTCTATTTGGCAGTCGCTGGTTTAATTTTGCAGTTGTGTGTTTATGATTGAATAGCAAAGTCCAAGATAGAACTTCAAAGATTTGTGGTAGGGGATAAGAAGAAAGAAAACTTGCTATACCGAATTGCTCAAAAATTGATTTTGTTCATCTCTTTTCTCATGTTCTCTTTGACTAGTTAGTGGATCAGTTAGATGCTAAAACACAAGCATATTAGGATTTTTTCACACCACTTCTATTTTGACAGTTTTTTCCTTTATGAATGCTTCATATTTCATCACATCCTTAATCTTTTTTATTTCATTGTGGACACAACTTCTATATTCTTGTGCTAAGAATTGCTGTTTTAGTGGCTTCTGTCTCATTGAGCAAATATAATTTGTTACTTTAGGAGTTTAGACGAATCAAGGGAAACATAAACTCAATGAGGGAACATGCTGAGCTTCTGAGTTCTGTCAGAGATGATATTAGTGAGTACAAGGTGAGTGTCATTTGAACTCTTAAAACTGTTCTATGATCTCATTTTTCATTTCTCAAAATTGATTTTTGTTTATCTGTGTACTTACAGGCATCTGGTAGCATGTCTCCAAGAGTGCAGTTGCTACGAGAAAGAGCTGCCATCCACGGAAGCATTGCTCATGTGAGACTTTCTCACTTTCTTTTTGCCATATTTAAGTCAGATTCTTTAGATGAAAATTTTTCCTTGCTCATTTCTTGCCATTTTAGTTGATGGAAAAAGAAATAAGGATGTTGGAATGAACAACTGGCTATGTTGAACAGGATAGAGTTAAATAATAGGTTTTCTTAGCTAGGATGTGGAGACAGGATGAAATACGGACAGGATGAACAGAAGTTATTAACTAATTCAGGGTGCTACAAGAAGAGGAAGCTGGAAAAGGCAAAAAAGATTTGTGAGTGCAATAAATTTCAATAGCCTAAGAGTTGGCATATCTGGCATAGATAGGGGAAAATGGCAGGAAATGCATGTAGTTGACTATCAATAGTGGGAGTTTTGCTTATTTGTCACTAGATCTGTAAATCTAATCACCACCAACTCCTTTAATTGGGTATGAACCCTGAACCTCTACAGCATTGCACTTTGCGAAGTGACAGGTACACCACTCAGCTAATATGGACAGTGAGAGTTTACTGCATTTCTAGTTTACTAGCAGTGTGCTGCAGGGGTGGATTTTGGGAAAGTGAGATAAATATTAAGTATAGCCACACTTTCTTTTTGCCATATTTACGTCAGATTCTCACCAATGAAATTGGGTGGAAGAAAAATATGGTGAGGAATTTGGTTTTCCACTTTATGTATCTCCTGCAGAAACAAGGAACTAAGGAATGGAATGAAAGAAATTTCCTTTCCATGGCCACCGTATCCATTTTTTTATATTTGGAGAGAGACTTCAAGGTTCTTTCATGATGCTGAAGTCATAAAACATATGGTGTGATATGGATTGGAAGAGAGGAACAACACTGCACTTCAATAGAGGAAGAGAGTTGAAGAACAAGAAGCACGAGGCACAATTTGTAGAGAAAGTAGTGTATTAGAACTCTCTGTTCATCTATAATGAAATAGATATGGATTGAGATTTTTACCAATCTATGATGTTTATTCTGATGATGATTACAATGTTAATTATGGAAGCAACAGTGAGAGTAATGATACACATGATGTCTTCACAGAAAAGTCTAAAGTTGAGTTAGAAAAGAATATCATAGTAGCAATTCAACAAAAGGAATACATTGGTCTGTGATATGCTGATCCTTTCGACTACATGATAGAACCTCAAAACATAAGCATTTACAAAGATTATATGTTGGTTGCAGATGTTGATAATAAACAGTTGTGCTGCCTAGGACAACGGAAGAGGAATAAATTTCAAGGTCAAGTTTGTTGTGCTAGTGTTACCATACATTAAAGGAAACAACTATTTAGTTTTGGATATGTACTTGAAACTCCAAAGAAAAAAAATGATGGCAACTCTTGACTGGACATCCATGATGTTGAGGCAAGAATGGTTTCAACTGGAGAATGTGTTTCTTCTAACCTAGGGAGAATGACTTGGGAGCTTTGTCATTTTATTATATTTCTGATATTAGAGTTAATTTATTTAGGGTCATGTGATTTTTTAAAATATTTCTTTTATAGGCCAAGTAATTTTACTTGGAGACTCAGACTAGAGAACATTTTCCCACAAGGACATGGGACTTGAACTAGTATAAATAGACTGCGAGGTTATTCTAAAATGTAGCTTTTGTTAATCTATCAATCTATTCAGATTCTTAAGGTTTCTTGTGAACCCTAAATTCTATGATCATGTTCCAACTTCATTTTATCCTAGTTTTAACCATTATTCTTCTGTAATTTTTGTTTTCTACTGCTTCCCTCTTCCCACTCTACGTCATGAAGTCCCCTGCAATAACCATTCAGTTCTTTTGCCAGCAAGTTGTTCGTTGATATTAAGTCAATTAACAATGTTGGTCCACGTCTGTGCAGATAGATGATGTTATTAATCAAGCTCAAACGACCAGGGCTGTTTTGGGTTCTCAAAGGACTTTTTTTGGAGATGTTCAAGGGAAAGTGAAGCTTCTAAGTGACAAATTCCCGGTTATCCGTGGCCTTCTTGGTACTTTTCAAAAGCCATCTGTATTATAAACGTTTATCCCTGATACTCTGCAACATTAAGTAATTATATAACAATTCTTCTTCTTCTTCTTCTTCTTCTGTTTTCAAGGTTCTATCAGGAGACGTCGATCGAGAGACACGCTCATTCTGTCTGCAGTCATTGCTGCTTGTACATTGTTTCTTATCATCTATTGGCTTTCAAAATAACGTACAAATGCTATTTACTGCTACAAAACTTACAAAACGATAATGCTCTTCCAAATCAATTTTGCTTCTGTAATTTGTTAGGATGGATTAAGTTGTGTATGCATGCATGTGGTACCATTACGCCAAGGTATACGTTTCGTATGGGATTTTGCTTGTTCCAATCACATGGCTAGATGTTTATTAATGTTCACATGAACAGCCACACAAGCATTTAGATGTCAACAAAGGGGACATATCTCGTTGCTGCATAGGAACTGCCCGTCAGCATGATGGTTCCTTGTCACGCCTTGAAACATCATTTTCTCTTGTGGCGCAGCTTTTGCCCGTGTTTGTATTACATTAAAACCTATTCTTCATGGATTTTTCCAGCTTATCAACCTCACATTGAATGCGCATAAATCTTTGCCGGACGGGGCACGTGAGTGCCAGACATGTCTCTTGTTGTATTCATTTCTTGATATGGAATTCTCCATCTCGTCCTTATTTGTTACTGTTCTCATGTCGGAAACCATTCTTACCAAGGCTGCCCTCGATTAAACTTACTGGAGCTGCTCTGTCAGGTAGCAGCTTCTTATTTCCCGATTATAACTGTAGCTGCACAAGATTTTCGAGGTGGAGCCCAAGTTGTTTGCAAGATGTATCCAAAAGTCAGAATTTACCCTTGCCTGAGCCGCACATTTGGCCTAGAAGCCAGCAAATTATATTAGCTTGCAATGTCATATTGGTCTTTTCCGTTTTTGTATTAGATGTTTTTTTTTTCCCGGTTCACGCAATGTTCTTGAAGCAATGCAATGACGCTAAATCGGCCCTTTTAGACATGTCAAATACAGCTTAATTATCTTGCATTTAAGACTTGAATCCATTAGCCAAGGAGCAGGTGAATAGCAGTTCTGTTTGCATATATTCTGTCACTCGTTTTCTGGCTGAAGTTACCAGCTAATTAATGACCGGAACACAATCACTTTTGTGACCACAATGATAAATAAAACAGAATAGTAAGAAACTTGGCGTGCGCTTTAACCACATGAAACTTCAATTAACAGAAGTTCCACCAATGGCATCCAACACGTCAAATTGCTAAAGCCGAAGAAACTACAAGTGAGATGGCCCCATGCCTTCACTAGACATACATGCTCTCTTCATTAAGTTCACAGGATAACTTCCAAGTGGTGTTATTTTATTCAGACACATACAAGATTTAGTTTATCATTTTCGATAGGAATTCTAATTAAATCCATTCCCGCTCCCAACCAAAAAGGAAAAAAACAAAACAAAAGAAAGAAAGATTTTAGAAGTGGGCTTCAGACATATTTCACTTGTAAAAACAAAAGAAGACAAGTTGATGTAATCAACGCATGCACTGCAACAGAAAGAAGTTGAGGTGTGAAAAGCAATGGCATGTGATGGATTTAAGGATACGCAGGATCTTATTCATCGAGAAATAAGGGGAAAACTACAAAACATGAGGGGAAACAAGTTTTAAAACCTAACTGGCTTCTTTCTTCTAGCTAGTTTTTACTTTGGCAGAAATCGAACACCATAAACTGTTGAATTTAATTTATACCATTTATGGTGAATCAGTGACCGTGGCAGTTCTGTAAAAAAACAAACAAGAAATGGATCTCATTTTCATGTCTTTTTCGACAAGCCTCGAGGCCTCCAACTTGAGATGGCTCCTTGTAACAGTGGCTTGGCTACCTCCCTAACTCAGCCATGTTGATGTAGTCGTAGCAGTAGTACTTTTTTGTGACAGTCAATCTGTACACTATCACATTCACACACCACCCTATTACTCAGAGCTTGAGATGCCAAAACAAACTGCACAGCCCTAAAACCATCGTCTTTATTGGATTTCTACCCTGTTCTTATTTACACAGAAGGCTTGTTTTAACTTCTGTGCATGCATGTACATAAGCCTTTTCATGATGGAAGATGAGATCACTTATTGCTGGTTATTGTTGTTGTTGTTGTTAATTATATGTGTGTAGTTGTCTTATTGTCATATGGAGTGTGGTGTGAATGATGTTAGAAATTTGATGCTTTCCGAGAAAGAAAAACTGCGATTACTTATTCCCAGTGAATCCCAATATATAGTTAAAATCCGATATTCCATTTTCATATGGAGGTCTCAAATTTAAATCCTGAATGTTGTATGGTGATGAACTGGGAAGGGAAGAGGACTATAATTGGTTCGACTTTTAATTTCTTCAACAAGTCTTCCAACAATGAAGGAATGTTGGTACTGTTTGCATTTGTGAAGAAAACAGTTGATGCCAGAGAATTAGCCGGTGGTTGCTTGTCAATATATAGTGTGAACATGCTAAAACTTGGATCAATTTGAATATGGTACCTGCATACTGTGCCTGAAATTTGTCTTAATTAAAACTCACTTTCCATCATAAAACTGATGGAAAACTTTGTTTAGGAAGGCATAATTAGAACCAAATTAGAAGTGAGGTACATTTACTTTTTAGATCTTCAATATAAACTTCTTAACATATAGCATTAATATAATTTAAACAAATTATAAGTAAATGAAAAATAATCTTAAAAAATCATAGGTTAACATATTTTAGTAAAACTTAAACCCCCTAAAATCTATATCCTACACTAGAAAAATAAAATTTTATTATGGCTTATTTAGGATGAAATGAGAAGAGTTAATAGCGGGCTAATAGATCCATGATCAAGTTTTTAAAAGAAAAATAATAAGAAAAATGATCAAAGTAAATTTATTTTAGATTTAAATTCATATGAATCTAATACTATTTCGCTAAAAAAGATTTAAACTCAAAAGCTATATATCTTGATACAATAATTTACTAAATCAATATCTCTCAATAAATATTTATATAGGAGATTGTTGGAAAATTTTGTTTATGAACATAGTTAATAAACACATTTAAAATCAAATTAAAAGTGGGGTCCACTCATTTTTTATGTTGATTAATTAACTAATTATAAGTGAATGATAAATTGATATCAAATAAACCTTATTGATATATTTTAATGAAACACAAAATTCTCTAAAATCTTTATTCTATATTGAAAAGGAACAAGTTTATCTCATGACTTATTTAGTAGGATAATAAAAAGTTAATATTAAACCCAAAAAACACTTAAATTTTTAGAGCGGAGAGAATCAAAGCAAAATAAGATTTGAACTTAAACTTATATATATGTCGACTTGACTAGTATTTGGGCTTGAATTTGGGTTAAGATTTTTTGTAAAATAATTTTTTAAGCTATAAAATATTATTTTTGCCAACCTATTATAATTTTTGGCTTAGACTTGAATTTATAATTTTTTGGACCGTGAAGAATTAATATTGTAAGCCTGTGTTTTGTCCAGTCCAGCCTGTAAATGTTAAAACTTGAACAATATTTTTTAAAAGTATTTCATGCAAGCTTGAATAATTTTTCTGCTAAAAGAATTCATATTTATGATCAAACATTCATGTTTAATTTAGAATTTAATAGTGAAAATTATTATGATTGTTTCTAGAATTAGTTTTTTTTAATCTTTTTAGGTTTAAAAATCCACTATAAAAAGATGAGAAGAAAGATATTTGCACAAATTTTTTCTGGATTTTACTCCCTTCCTCACCTTATTTTTATTTTTATTTTTTCATCTTTAAGTTTTGATTTTCATTTTAAATCTAGAAATTAGATTCACTTTGTTAAAAAATAATTGAGTTCATTTAACTATTGTTTAGAAGTGTATCCCAACAAAATTGGGGTGCTGAAATCATAAGAGATTTATTATAAATATTATAGTTACAGCAAATGAAAAACAATAAAGTTTGAAGACAAAACATTTATCATTGATAACAAAAAAAAATAATATTATTTTAAAATACCTTAACAAGTAAACATTATTTTTAATTTAAACATGGATATTTAATAATATTAGTATACATGATTTGGTATTAATTGTAAGTTTAAATATATACTTGTATACTAAAATTCAATTATTATATTTGTATTAGTTTTTATTTTGCATATACATATATTTAAATTTGCATGAATATTAATGTTTTTCTAAAAAAATCTTTTTATTTAGTATCCCCTTTATAATAATAAATTAAACAATCTATAATTCATTATTTCATTACTAATCTAGTAATTCATGAATAACGAGAACATTGGAAAAGTTACAGTATATTTGGTCCGTTGCAGCCCCCCCCCCCCCCCAAAAGAAACTAATACGGTTAGTGATTTTACCGTAGATTTTTTACTATACCTCTTCTCTTATTACACCTTTTCACTCGGTAATAATATGGATTGAAAAAATAAAATTATGATTTTGTCCTTATCAACAAAATATAATTGGTCTTGGCAGGGGCTTTATAGTGATTTTCTTGTTGTTTTGTGCAAAGTAAAATGAATAATTAAAAAAAAACTAAAAAAATAACGTAGCTTTTTTATTCTACCTTTAAAATTAGCGTTATGACTTGGAGCTCTAAAATTATGATTTTGCTCTCACCAACAAAACACAATTGGCCTTTACCGGAGGTATTGTGGTTTAGTTTTTGTTGTGTACAGTAAAATCATTAATGTATCTTTTGATGTAAAAAATAATGAACTTGTAGACAAGGGCTTTTTTTACTATTTAATTTTAGAATCACATTATAATGATCACAATTTCTTTATATTCATATTATCTTGTATTTGGGTTAAAAGGTTTTTTTTTAATATATTTTTATCGAGTTTGACAGAGATAATTTATTATTTTAATATATATATATATATATAATTTATTTTCAAAATATGAGTTGGACTGTCAATAATATAGATAAGTGTGGATGCTCTCTCACTTTTTGAATAACATGTACGACATCATCCAATAACCGAACTTTAACTCCTATAAAAATATTTTAGTTCTCACATTGTTGTTTTTATTTTTGTTCTGTACATGTGGTAAAAAAATATCAAGTTTTGAGCCGGTCATTGTTTTTTTCTATCATTCCTCTCTCCTCTTTGGTTCATAGCCTTCCATTGCATATTTTTAAAATAGTTATTTGATTGTTTTATTCTACATTCAGTTTATATTCTTTTATTTTTATTTTTTTTATTTTAAATAATTTATAGAATTGAAAAAAAAATTCAATTTAATTTTTTTTGATTTTTTTGATTTTTCAGATTTAATCTTTATTTTTTTATTGTGTTATTTTATTTTATTTTCTTAAT